CCACAGGAACGGGGAAAGAGGCGCTGGTGGCTCTGCTGGAGCCAGGGCTGCACCCCCGCCATCGGGAGGGGACACGGGATGAGCATCCCAGAGGTGGCTTTGGCCCTGTGCTGGTATTTTTTAGGTTTGGGTGATGCTGAGTGGATGGGAAACCCCGAAGAAGAGGTCTGGGATGCTTTGTTGGGAAGGAGGAATGGGCATGGAGAAGTGGGGCTGCGTCCTGGGGGATATGCCTAACGCTGACAGAAATGTTGAGCTTTTGGAAATGCCCAAATATTTTGCTTCAAGATTTTCTTGAAAGACACCACCAGTCCCTTTCAGCTTCAAAACTACAGCTTGTCATTTCAAAAGAGACCTAAACTTGAAAAAAAAAATAAAAACAAAAAAACCAAAGATTAAAAAACCAACCCTAGCAAGAATATTCCAAGAATAGGAATATTTTTAATATCAGACACAAGAGGATGTATGTAGTGATAAAAATTGCTCACATCACTATCTTTTTGTTCCAGTTCCTCCTAAGTTGAGTGTGTTGGTTTTATTTACAAATATTCACTGTCAGTGCTTCAGTGAGGTGTTTGCTGAGCTGCTGGTGCCAGCCTGGTTCTCCACCAAGCATCCCAATCTCCCTGTCTGGTGCCCTGGCCAGCTTCCCACCTGCCTAAACAAACCCAGTCAGGCCTGACTTAACTTTGGAACCACAGGTTATGGAGGGGAAAAAAAAAAGCCCTACTGAGAACTAAAGCATCCCTAAAATGCCATAAGTGAAGCAGGAGAGAGATGGGCATGGAGCTGAAGGTCCCAGAGATGGAGGAAAACCTCTGTGGATCCAGGCTGGTGTGTCTCACTCAGGCTAAAATGTTAAATTAATTGCTGGAGTCTGGGTCTCAAGGGTACAGCCTGATCTCAAGGGAGCTGAGACACCAACAGGAACCTTGGATGTCTCTCCATTGCTACCTGTGATTTTTTTCTGCCTGTGACCTTTTAGTGCCTGAGGTCTCAGTTTACTGTGTGTTTATAAGGAGCTCTTTTAGGTTTTATGGGGGTTTCTCTGCAGCTCACATTGCCCAGGGATGGGGGAGTCCTGCACTGGGCAGTGAAAGACACCTGGACTGAACAGCATCCCTCAGTGGGAGCTGCTTTGGAAATAAAGTCATTTATTCAGCGACCTAGGAATGGCTTTCAGTGTCTGATATCAGGCAGCCATTTACCTAAATCTCACACCTCCCTGCTGTGCAGCATCCTTTGGGCTTGGAAACATCCACTGCTGGGGTGGTGCTGCTGTGCCTGGTTGGCAGAGGTTTGTGGCTCTCTAATAAGTGCCTGGGAAACAAATTTTGGGCACATTTATTCCTGGAGATTAGCTGGCAGTAATGTAATATCTTATCAATATTTTATTACTGAGAGCAGTTGGTAATCCCAACAGGTAGGGCTTAAACATCATTTAAACAGGATGAGAATGTGTTGCCAGACGAATACAAATAGCCTCCACTTTGACATAAAAGAGACATAATTAAAGATGAAGTGACTACAGAAATATTAATGCAAGCCAGTGTATAATTGAGCTGGAGGAAGAAAAAGAATGACCCTTCAGAAGGGATGCTTTCAAGGGAATGCACCTCCCTCTCTTCACAGGGCAGTCACAGGGATGTTGGAAACACATCTTAGGGACAGGCAGTTGTAGGTAAACTTGGGGAATTAATGCTGAATGTAGAAAAATAAAAGCTACTGATGGCAATTATGAATTCCCTAACCTGTACATTTTATTTGATGTTTTCCCACTTTGTATGGTGATGACAGTGTTTTATAAAAGCTTTATAGCACCCCTTTCCTATTTCTTTGGGAATGCTGCTTTCTGCTGAGCATGCCCAGGATTTGGCTGGCATGGGAGGAGTGTTGCACCAGACCCTTGTGCTTGCCAACACTGTTTGGGAAAAACCTGGGAGGAAGAAGGCACTTTTGCAAACAATCCCCATTTTCTGGTGGTTTTCCCATGAGGGTTTTGCATATATCTGGTCCTCTGCTTCTCAGAACAGGGCTGGTTCAGCACATTTCCTATGTGGGTTTTAGGAACAGCCAAAAAAAAAAAAAAAAAAAAAAAGATGGGGTTGAAAGCTCGGAGGTAACCTCTGCAGGATATGTGCTGACTTTTGACTTCTCTTTCTGGGCCAAAGTCACCAAGACAGGGGAATAATAATGTCCAGTTCCCACAGATATTTCAGACAAGGCTGGGTAAACAGTGGGGTTTTTTTTCTATGTGATGTCCAAGCCAAGAACTCAAATATCTGGGTGTGGCAAAGAGGTTCTGGTTTGATACCTTCAAACATCTCTGTTGGTAATCCCATTTACTGAAAATATCTGGGCCTAGGGTTAATTCCAGGTGTCTCTGAAGCCAACACTGATGCTGCCACCTCTGCTCTTCTCACCTCAGTTTCCCCCAGCTGTAAATCATTGATCATTCTCAGTAGGGACATTTAAACTGGGAGAAAGAAAAGCTCTGTTCCAACCTAAAGCGTTATTGCTGTTGTTATTATTATTGGCTTTTAAGTCTAGAGCCAGAGTCTTGAAACCTGGGAACAGTTTAATTAGGGATGCCTCAAACGCTGTCACATCAATGTCAAGGAACAAGCTGAGCTTTTCCTTTTCCTTTTGACACATCAAGTCTTCAGTCTGGCACTGGCCTTAACCCCAGATTTGCTGTCTTGGAGATTTTTAGGATCTATTAGACATTCCTGATGTGTTTCTGATTTTTATGCTATGATCTTTATTATGAAATTCCTGATTTTTATGATCTATTAGACATTCCTGATGTGTTTCTGATTTTTATGCTATGATCTTTATTATGAAATTCCTGATTTTTATGATATATTAGACATTCCTGATTTGTTTCTGATTTTTATGCTATGATCTTTATTATGAAATTCCTGATTTTTATGATATATTAGACACTCCTGTATGTCTATTCCTGTGCAAGTGAGGATGGGGCCAGAGGGATGGGGTGGTTTGTGGGTGAGGGAGGGTGAGGATACTTTCTGTGGGTGCTAGTGGAGAGGCACAGATGAGCTCCCTGACCCCACTGCTGTCTCCAGCATCTCCTTGGGTCTTGGCATGAGCTGGAGGGAGGTGACAATGGGGAGTTGACTGGATAGAACCCATGTGGAACTGATGCTGTCTTGTGCTGGTGCTACCTGGGCTGCTGGGTTTGATGCCTTTGTTTTCTGGGCGTCGGGTTCTTCATCATTTGCCCACATTTACAGTAAGCATCTGGTGAGCCCCAAAACTGCTAAAGTTGACCCAAAAGCAGCATCCCCCATTGGCACTGGATGACTGTGCAGCACTGAGAGCACGTCCCTGTCACTGCGGAGTGCCAGCAGCGCTGTCCCCAGCCCCTCAGTGCTCCAAGGGGGTGACACAGCACTGCTGTGCTGATCCATCTCCCTGTTGTGGTGTTGTGAGGTCCCCAGGATGAGGTGAGAGATGAGAATTGACTCCCAAGTTCTCAGAAGGCTGATTTTTTTTATTTTATTTTATTGATAAAATAAATCAATGATTTGATTTTATATTATATTGTATTATATTATATTATATACTAAAACTATACTAAAATAAGAGAGAAGATACATCAGAAAGCTAGAAAGGAATGAATAATAAAAACCTGTGACTGACCAGAGAGTCCGACGCAGCTGGACTGGGATTGGTCATTGAGTAAAAACAATTCACATGGAACCAATCACAGATTCACCTGTTGGTAAACAATCTCTGTGAGACCATGTCTGGATGGGCTGTTTGGGTCCACTCTGGACCATTGACAATAGGGTCAATAGTCTGTGGGCTTTTGACCCCAGTCCACACGGTCCTACATAGATGAAAGCAAAATATCAGAAGTGCTCTTCTCCACGTGGTAACGTTCTCTCTTTATTCCAAGAGACACATCAGATGGACAAACCCATAGAAAAAGAGACTGTTCCCCAATACAACAAACCTCCAGAGCACATTCCAAGCAGTCAGATCATTATTGTTCACATTTCTTTTCTGAGGCTTCTCAGGAGAAAAATCCCGGCGAAGGGATTTATCATAAAACACCACAGTGACAATCTCCCGCCATGGCTGCCCCGTGCCTTGTCCCAGCACCTGCAGGGCGTGACAGTGGGCTGGGTGTGGCAAAGAGGTTGTGCTTGGACACCTTCAGACCTGTCTGTTGGTCTGGGTGTGGCAAAGAGGTTGTGTGTGACGGTGTTCACAGGGGTCTCAGGTTGAGAGAAGAGATGAGGATTTGACTCCATATTTCAGAAGGCTTGATTTATTATTTTATGATATATATTACATTAAAACTATATTAAAAATAATAGAAGAAAAGGTTTCAGCTCAGGAAGCTAGCTAAGCTAAGAATAGAAAAGAATGAATCAACAAAGGTCTGTGGCTCGGACAGAGAGAGAGCCAGCTGGGCTGTGATTGGCCATTAATTCCAAACATCCACATGAGACCAATCCCAGATCCACCTGTTGCATTCCACAGCAGCAGATAACCATTGTTTACATTTTGTTTCTGAGGCCTCTCAGCTTCTCAGAAGGAAAAAATCCTAAGAAAGGATTTTTAATGAAAAGATGTCTGCGACAGTTGTGCTTTGACCCCTTTAGACCTGTTGGTCTGGGAGTGGCAAAGAGGTTGTGTTTTGACCCCTTCAGACGTGTCTGGGTGTGGCAAAAGGTTGTGTTTTGACCCCTTCAGCCGTGTCTGTTGGTCTGGGTGTGGCAAAGAAGTTGTGTTTTGACCCCTTCAGACATGTCTGGGTGTGGCAAAGAGGTTGTGTTTGACGCCTTCAGCCGTGTCTGTTGGTCTGGGTGTGCAAAGAGGTTGTGCTTTGACACTTTCAGCCGTGTCTGTTGTTCTGGATGTGGCAAAAGGTTCTGCTTTGACGCCTTCAGCCGTGTCTGTTGGTCTGGATGTGCAAAGAGGTTGTGCTGACGCCTTCAGCCGTGTCTGTTGGTCTGTCCGTCCCGCAGGCTGTTCGCGGTGAAGTGCGCGGGCTGCCTGGAGGCCGTGGCGCCCAGCGAGCTGGTGATGCGCGCCCAGAAGAGCGTCTACCACCTGCACTGCTTCTGCTGCTGCGTCTGCGAGCGGCGCCTGCAGAAGGGAGACGAGTTCGTGCTCAAGGAGGGGCAGCTGCTCTGTAAGGGCGACTACGAGAAGGAGCGGGAGCTGCTGAGCTTGGTGAGCCCGGCTCTGTCGGATTCTGGTAAGGGACTCCCTGGCTGGTCCCGCTGCCAGGCCCCTCCCAGGGCTCTGGAGGTGAGGGTTGGGCTCGCTGCCCTGAACTTCTGCCCTTTGGTCTGAGGGGATAAGCTCTGTAGGGTCCTCCAGGCGCCTCGGTGGTGAGGGCTTGAGCAGGGAGCTCAGCAGCGAGGGCTGGAGGATGCTCTGTGTTCCATCCCACCTCATAAGGCTCATTTCTGGAGGAGTTTGTGCTCCTGGCCTGTGCAGCTTCCCCAGATGTGGGAGGGAGAGCTGGCCACTGACTAAACTTTGAGCTAAACCTTTGTCCCTGCCCTGTGCCTCAGTGTCCCTGGCTGTCCCTGCTCCTGTCCCTGGAAAGGCTGAGAACAAGAAGGGAGCTGCTTCTGCTGTAGTCACCCCTTTTAATAACAAGGGGAAACTGAGGCACAGAGCTGAAACATGAGCTGGCAGCAGGGAGCCTACAAACCTTGTGTCCCCAGCAGCTGATGGGCAGAGCCAGCCTGCTGACCCATCATGGGGACACTGTGGGGACACTGCAGAGCCAAGGGGGCTGCAGGAGAGGTGGCCCTGTGGCTGGAAGTGGGCAGGGGGCCAGCATTCTGCTCCAGCCAGGGTGTCACAGCCAGGTTAGATTGCCCAGAGCATCACCAGCATTAAAATATGTTATCTGCACTCAATGCAAATTAAACCTGAATGTTTCCCAGGAAGACAAAGCCCAGCGCTGGGGAGTGGGAGGGTGGAAATGATCTGATGATCTGCTAGCCAAAATCCTCAGGATAACACCATCCCCACAGTGCCCTGCTCCTCAGCAGTCTCTCAGTTCCCCTTAAAATCCCTCACTGGGGAAAAGGCTGCTTTGTGGAGGGAAAGGATTTACCTTGGGAATTCTCTGCTCTGGAAAATGCCAGCAGCTGTGGTAGGGGGCAAGTGGGGCTGTCTTTTTCCTGCTGGAGCGAAGCACTGGATTTAAAAAAAGTAGAAATCAAGATTACGAGTGTGTGGTTAAGGTGTGAAGCATGGACACAACAAAACCTGGTGCTCTCTGTCACTGGAATGCTGTAACTGGGAGAAGATTTGTGAAGGGATAGGGGTGGTTTTCATAGATAGGGAGGAAAAATTGCCCAAAGCCTGTATTTCTCTTTAATATTGAGCTCCTCTGCAGTGAAAGCCCCTCTGTCCTGCAGCACTGCTTGTGTGGCTTCTGTGTGAGCCCTGCAACCCTGCTTGCTCAGGACAAAAAAGTCGTCCCTCCTTGCAATTAACAGTGGTGATGTTTAAAAATCAGAGTGATTCCATGGGAGGAGGTGGCTGTGGGGAGCTGGTGAGTGATGGTCCAGCACTGGAGGATCTGGACAGGCAGGAGTGCAGGAGGACCCAGCCCACTGGCACTGGCTCTTCCCTTAGCCCTGGGAAAGTCCTTAACTGATTGAAAAATTACTATTTTTTCCTCTGGGATATACAAACCCTTTTCAGTTAAAATAGGAACCAATGAGGAAGAGAAAGCAAATCAGCCACAATGGTTTGGATTTGTTCCTAGTGGGGGAGAAGGGCATTTGGGGAAAGGTTGGGGAGCTTTTCCTCCCCAGCCACTCATCAGCCTGTGGTCCAGCCCCACTTCCAGCAGCTCCAGCCAAACCAAGAGCCTCAGCTTAGCAAAAACCCCCAGGGGAAAGACTTATTTTGGTGGAAACTCCAGCTGAGACCTGAGGGATGTGAAGGGCCAGTGTGGGAGTCAAAAGGGCAAGGCAAGCCCGTGGCTGATCAGAAACCCAACCCAAAGCCCCTGACATGGCCTGGCAGCCTCTGACTGGGGGGTCCTGGCCCTTGCCATCTCCCCACAGACCCCATAGCTTGTCCCTGGCTGCTTTTGGTGCCTCCCAGCTTTGGCTTGGGACATTGGGGACAATGACACAGCAGGGACCAGCCCAGGTACGCATCCCCCGTGGATGCTCAGTGTGTGGTGGCTTCTCCTCCCCCCAGACCCAGGGGATGCAGAGTGGTGTCCAGGGGATGCACAGTGATGTCCAGGAGATGCAGAGTGGTGTTCAGAGGATGCAGAGTGGTGTCTAGGAGGTGCAGAGTGGTGTTCAGGAGGTGCACAGTGGTGTCCAGGGGATGTAGAGTGGTGTCCAGGAGATGCAGAGTGGTGTCCAGGGGATGCACAGTGATGTCCAGGAGGTGCACAGTGATGTCCAGGGGATGCAGAGTGGTGTCCAGGAGGTGCAGAGTGGTGTCCAGGAGATGCAGAGTGGTGTCCAGGAGGTGCACAGTGATGTCCAGGAGGTGGAGAGTGGTGTTCAGGAGGTGCACAGTGGTGTCCAGGGGATGTAGAGTGGTGTCCAGGAGATGCAGAGTGGTGTCCAGGGGATGCACAGTGATGTCCAGGAGGTGCACAGTGATGTCCAGGGGATGCAGAGTGGTGTCCAGGAGGTGCAGAGTGGTGTCCAGGAGATGCAGAGTGGTGTCCAGGAGGTGCACAGTGATGTCCAGGAGGTGGAGAGTGGTGTTCAGGAGGTGCACAGTGGTGTCCAGGGGATGCACAGTGATGTCCAGGTGATGCACAGTGATGTCCAGGAGATGCAGAGTGGTGTCCAGGGGATGCAGAGTGGTGTCCAGGAGATGAGAGTGGTGTCCAGGTGATGCACAGTGATGTCCAGGAGATGCAGAGTGGTGTCCAGGGGATGCAGAGTGGTGTCCAGGGGATGTAGAGTGATGTCCAGGAGATGCAGAGTGGTGTCCAGGAGATGCAGAGTGGTGTCCAGGAGGTGCAGAGTGGTGTCCCCTCTCTGGATGCCCCTCACCAGCAGCATGTGATGAGCTCCTCCAGCCTCTTCCCTGTCCCCCCCTGGCTGCTTTGAAGCCCCCCAGGCTCTCTCCTTCCCTCCCTGCCCCCGGCCCCCGCACACCAAGGGCCACTTTATGAGAAAGCAGAGATAAAAAGCGAGCCATATGTTGTCTGTAATCTCCCAAACCCTCGCTTCAATTACTGCCTCCCCCGAGCCTCCGCCGCCCAGCCTGAGTAAACAAGCCCCTCTGAAAGAGGACCCTGCTTTCCAATTAAAAACGTCCTAACGTTCCTGCTCTCCCTAAATCCTCCCTGGGCGAGGAATGTCCCGGCCCCGGCGGCGGGATGTGGGCTCGGCAGGTCGGAGCGGGGGCACCAAGCCCCACAATATCCACAATATCCACAAGATCCACAATATCCACAAGATCCGTGGCCCCGGCCCCTTCCCAGGTGACGTCAGGGCAGCCCCAGACACTCATTAATTTCTCCCCCCTCCTCAGTGGGGAAAGGCTTGAAAGGGAGAGTTAATTAAAAGTAATACCCCGCCAAATCCGGCTTCGCTTTTCCTTCTTTCCCTTTGACACTGGGAGGGATTTGGGGAGCAGGTGTTGGTGGGGGGAGGGCTTGGAGAGGCTGCTCTGAGCGGGTTTTCCCCCTTGGAGAGGGTTTTGAGCATCATGGACCTGATGGAGCCTATGAGCCTGTGGCTCTGCCCCTCCTGGGCTGGAGAGGAGTGGGGTGCTGACCTCATGCTTGGGTGGTTCATGGACCAGTTGACATTCCTTCTCCCATGATTTGTAAAAATCTCTACCTTTCCATCAAAATTAAACTCCTTCAGCATTCAGGAGAGCCAGCAGCTTGGCAGAGCAGGGACCTGGCACTGGGAAGGAGGCAGCAGCAGCAGCAGCAGGAGCCCCTGCTCAGCCCCATCAGCTCCACAGCCTGGGCCTCCCTCACTGGGGTTCTCACACCTGCTCCAGTGTGGCATCCCTCGGGCTGGGACATGCAAGGAAACATCAGTTTGTCCTTCCTGTTGGTGTGGGAATGTCGTGGGTGTGCTGTGAGCAAGAAGGGAGCTGGAGCAGCAGCAAGGCTCTGGTTCCTGGGGGCCAGACCCAGCTCCTGGCTCTCTGGGGACTGCCAGCACAAAGAGCTCTCCCTGCCCACTGACAGGGAAAGGCTCCTGGCTGGAACCCAGGAGAGGGCCCAGCAGTGTGGAGAGGAGAGGTAACTGGTGCCTGAGAGCTGCTCCTCTGGGATCTTTGCCTCCCCTCAGCCTGCAGATCTGCTCTTGCCTTTCCTCATTCCCACCTGGGCTGCTGTTGGATTGAAGCTTTCCTGCTGTGTGTGATCCACGATTAGCCCTTGCCATGGGGTTTGACCTGGCCTGTTTTCCCCAGGAATTACCCTGAGCCAGGCTCACACTCCCTGGTACACTCCCTCTCCCAGAGCCATGGCAGCCCTGGCATGGACTTGGGCCAAGCACAGCCTTGCAGAGCCCCATCCATACCCAACCTGCACCTCAGCTCCATTAGCCATTCCCAGATGAACGCTGAAGGAGCTTTCTGGAAAAGGCTGTAAGTGATTTACAGCTAGCCAGAGGGAAGGTGCTGTCAAACCTGCATCACAGCTGAGCAAGCAAGGTCATCAGCAGGGGAGGTGCAGTAAATGAGGAGAGCTGGGAAGAGGCACTGTCCACTTTCCTGGAGCAGTTCCTGCCCTGAGTGGTGGAGAGCAGCAGGGAGGTCCACCCCAGTGCCTGGGAATGCAGTAGGGCAGCACATCACAGTGAGTACCTGAGGGGTGAAGGCTGAAAGACCCTGGGTTTCTGTCCAGGGAGATTTAAAACTCCACAGAAAGAAGGAAATAACAGGCAGAAAGGTGCCCCTTATATGTATGAATAAATATGTATGCCCCTTATATGTATGAATAGAAGTCTGTGCTCTGAAGGGAGTTGTCCTCCATGGTAGAGCAGGTCAGGAGGTGTTGGTGAGGGGTCTTGGCTAACACTTTGCCCTCTCTGAGCATCCTTGCCCACCCATCACCCTGACCTCCCCAGCCTGGTCTGCCTGGGCAGAGGGACCCAATCTCTGTCTCCACCTGGGTTTGGGGACAGCCCCAGGGGCACAGGGGCCCTTGACAACTGCTGGCCCCTCACCTGGATGATGTGACCTGTGTGACTCTGTCCAGATGTGTCCCCAGCTGTGGCCTGGCTGGAAATTCCTGTGAAGCAGGCAGAGATCTGGCTCTGGTGGAGGGAAAATCAGCTGTCCCAGGGTTTCACATTGCAGCTGCTCAGACTGTTGGGGAAAAGAAGAACCTGAAAACACATCTGCTGGCTGAGCAGTCACAGGCTTCAAGTGCCAGTAGCTCTCCCCCACTCCCAAACCTCAGCTTCTCACATACTCAGAACAAGATCCCCACCAACACCAGCTTGTTTTAAATCTCTCACATTATTTTGACCATGCTAGAGATGGTGTGTGCTGCCTGTTTTCTGTAAAGGACCTGCTTTTATTTCATCCTTAGGCAAAAGTGATGATGAGGACAGCATCTGCAAGCTGGGCCAGGCCTCGGGGAAGGGCTCTGAGGACGGGAAGGATCACAAACGGCCCAAGAGGCCTCGGACCATCCTGACCACGCAGCAGCGGAGGGCGTTCAAGGCCTCGTTTGAGGTCTCCTCCAAGCCCTGCAGGAAGGTATGGGGAGAAGAGCCCATGGCCAGCTCTTGGGGATGTGCTGGGTGCTGAGCATGGCCTTGCCCTGGCTGATCTGACCCTTCCTGAAAAGCTGAGTGGGCTGAGATGCAGCCCCACATTTCTCTTCACAGAGAAAAGCAAGGCACAATTCTTCCCAAAAATATTTCTGGGTTTCGCGTTCTCTGAATCTCAAAGAAAGAAAACACAATTCTTATCATTCACCTGTGTTTGTGCAAAAGTAGAATGCAACATGGAGATTGTTTACCCAAAGTGATGGTGTTTTGTTTCCTTGGCCTGTCAGAGCCAGGAGCGTGTGTGTGTTGGGACTGTTGGGTGACAATCACAAGAGTCTGTGCAGTGTGAGCAGAGTGAGTGCTTGGCAGATTCAGTTTAGATGTAATGTATATAGTATAATAAAGTAATTAATCAGCCTTCTGATAGCCATGGAGTCAGATGCATCACTCTCTCCCCTGGCTGGGGCCATCCCAGCATTGCCATGCTGAGGGAACGCTGTCGCTGTTCTCTCCAGGTGCGGGAGACGCTGGCGGCAGAGACGGGGCTGAGCGTCCGTGTGGTGCAGGTCTGGTTCCAGAACCAGCGAGCAAAGGTGGGTACCAGGGCTGCCAGCACCCATTGCTGGGGCTCCCTCCCTCCTGGCTTTGGCCAGGGGATGGTTTCATTCTGGTTTTTCCCCTTTCCTCTCTCCCAGATGAAGAAGCTCGCCAGGAGGCAGCAGCAGCAGCAGCAGGACCAGCAGAACACGCAGCGCCTGAGCTCAGGTACCCCCCTGCCAATTCGGCTTTCCCCATCTCCCAGCCCTCTCCAGGCTTCTCAGCCGAGCTCAGCCGCCCAAAAAGCAGCAGCCAATGATCTTCTCTGGATGTTATCTTGCAGCCCAGACGAACGGCGGCGGCGGGCCGGGGCTGGAGGGGATGCTGAACCCCTACACGGCGCTGCCCCCGCCGCAGCAGCAGCTGCTGGGCATGGAGCAGAGCGTCTACGGCTCCGACCCTTTCCGGCAGGGGCTCACCCCGCCCCAGATGCCCGGAGACCACATGCACCCCTACGGTAGGGCTCTGGGGATGCTCTCTTTGCCCTCTCACCTTCAAAGAGATGCTGGGTTGTGGTGGGGTCGCCTCACTCCTAAATGCCTTGTGCTACTGATGCCTTTTAGGGCTGACCTAAAAACAGAGGCCAGACAAAAGAATAAAAGCAGATATTTACTGAAGGGCCTTCAGGTACATTAAGGGCAGATAGATGAAGCCTCCCCAAGGGGGCTACACCCAAGATGGACAATGGTCCAGCCATTTTTCAGACAATTATAAATTTGTCCATTTACATATCAGGGGTTAATCCTCCAATTACAGCTTCAGCTAATGAAGTCATATTCCCCCCATTTGCTCCTCTCCATTTCACTTTTGTTCATACTTTTCAGGGCCTGAGGCTGTAGGGTGTCCTTGAGTTTCAGGCCCAGAAGGATCATTTTTCTGACCAAAATGTGAGGACAGCAGCTGACACTCTGTATGGAGTTCAGAGCTATACACTGAAGCAGTGCAAGATTTGAAAAACACACAGCTGAAATCCAAAGGCATCACTGGAAAAGCTGGGGGTAGCAGGCACTGTGGAGGTGCTGGAGCAGGCTCTGAACCCTTCCTGTCCCTTCCTTGCTTCCCAAGGTGCCGAGCCCCTCTTCCACGACCTGGACAGCGACGATACCTCACTGAGCAACCTGGGGGACTGCTTCCTGGGCACAGCAGATGCAGGGCCTCTCCAGGCACGAGTGGGAAACCCCATCGACCACCTGTACTCCATGCAGAACTCCTACTTCACCTCCTGAGCCCAGTGTGGTCCCCCCAGGAGGGGCCGCAGAGCTCCCAGGGTTGGGAGGGAGGGAGGGAGGGGAGCAGCTCTGCTGGGATGCTGTCAAATAATGTTGTAGCTTGGGATTCCCAAGGAGAGAGTTAAGTTATGGGTTGCATAGTTTCATGTTTCTCTTAGGAGCCTAGGATTAGGGACAGGAGTGGTTTTTGCAGCTGGCTGGTGGATTTTCAAATTTCAGACGAGGGACACGAATTTCTCGTTTCAGCAGAGGGTGGGGGATTCTCCTGTAAGAGCATCCCAGCGCTGTATCCCACCTTTAGAAAGAGCAAACTGCTGATCTTCGTGGGGAAAGCCTGCAGCATCAGCTGGCCTTTGAAATCTGACAAGCTGACAACGCTCTGTGGAAACAGGAGAGGAACTCTCTGTCACTGCAGAGTTTGGGTTTTTTCCCCTCTGTTCCCTCAACCAGTTTGAGTGCCTGCTGCTTAAACGTAGGGACTTTTTAAGCTAGATGTTCCCATGTGAATATAGAGAGCTAGAAACCCCCAGCATTGTCCCTGAGGATGGGGCTGTGTGTGTGGATGTGTGTGTGTGTGGGCACGCGCGTGTGTGCGTGCAGAGCTGTGTGGCTGGGAGTGCAGCACTGCACGGCCACACCTGCCAGATTGTATCAACAAAAAAAGTTTATTTCTAAGTCTATCAGAAATTTACTGTACAGCAAAAGTAACTTTATTTTCAGTGTGAACCATATTTAAGGAAATACTCAATGCACTTAAGTTATAAGAGGAAATAATTTTACTTTTTATAAACGTTATGTTTTAGGTTGCAAAAGCCCAGTGGCAGGGAAGGAGCATCAGTTCATTTCAGGCATCAGGTTTGGGGTTTGGGGTTGGTTATTTTCGCTGTTCTCAGGTTGCCCCACTGGTTTCGAGGGGCAGTTGAAACACAGAGCAGAGCTGGCTCCAGAACCTGCTTTTGGCCAGCAGATTGATGGGACAGCATGGTGGCCATGTCCTGTCCCCACTGCTGGACCTGTCCAGGAGCTCTGTGTGGCATGGGCGTGCTGGAGCTGGTGGATCCCAGCCCACTGGAGCTCAGCCATGCTTCTCCACATCACCTTTTCCTTCCCCAGCAGGTGCCAGCCTGCCCCCAGCAGCGACCCCATCCCATATCCTCCAGCCTGGGTGCTAGGCTGGGCTGAGCTGGTGTCCTGGCCCTGGGAAACGCTGCAGCCCAAGCCCCCCACCTCAGGGGAAGCAGAAAGGAGGGACAGCCCTGCCTTTCATCCCTGGGGGACCTGGGGGCAGTTCTGCTTGGGGTGGAGCTTGCAGGTGGCCCTCAGCTCATCCCCACTCTGGTTTTCATGCGTTGTGTCCTTTTGTGCTGCTGTTCACAAACGATGTAAGCGACAACCCCGTAGAGAGAGACGTGCAAGTGACTGTGAGGCTCAAAACAAAACACTGGCTGGTCACTGCCATCCTGTCTGACACTGAATGTAGCAGGGCCTGGAGATGGCTGACCCGGCGGGAGGTGCTGACAGCACTGTCAGAAATCACGCACCCAGATGAAATTAAAAAAAGACAAAAAAAAAGTTCTCTGTTAAAAAAAAAAAAAAAGAAAAAAAAAAAAAAGCCTGGTATTTTTTTTCTGGTGTTTTCTTGTGTGGTTGTGTCCTCTTGATTGGGAGAGGGAAGGGTTTGAGGCGACTCCAAAGGAAGCAAGGTCTTGGGTAGGTTGAGAAGGTTTTGCTTGATGGGTTTTTGATATCAAATATTCACAGAATCATAGAGCCCATCATGGTGTGGGTTGAAAGGGACTTGAAAGACCATCCAGTTCCAGCCCCCTGCCATGGGCAGGGACACCTTCCACCATCCCAGGTGGCTCCAAGCCCCATCCAGCCTGGCCTTGGACACTGCCAGGGGTGGGGCATCCACAGCTTCTCTGGGCAACCTGTGCTAGGGCCTCATCATATTCTGTGGTCTGGAACTAAACTGGCTCCTGGAGTGTCCTGGAAGGTGAGACAGCTGTCTCTGGCTCCCACCCAAGGTGGCAGAGAGGAATTTTCTGGGGGTCTTCACCAAGCTCTCACCTGGCCCAGCACCTCATGAACCCCAGCCCTCCACGTTTGGACCATGAGCAACTCTATATCAGGACTGCCTTAAAGGTGTGGGTGGGTGTTTCCCAAAGGGAATTGCTCTTACAACAGCCCCCAGACACAGAGGTTCCACAAATATGCCAGCAAATGGGGATCCACATTGTTGTTCAAAACAAGGTGTGCTCCTTCCTGCCCATCATCAGTCCCTGCTCTGCAGCTCCTGTGCTAGGAAATGTTTTCTAATTCCAACCTGCAAAAAAAAAATAATCTAAAATGGCATGACTGTAAGAAGAAAACTTGTCATTTTTATTTCCCAAGGTGTGAAATAAAGAGCAGCCCAAGAACAGCCTGGATGCCTGGGTTGGTTTGGGGTTTTGCTCTGTCTCAAGACAGGAGCAGGGAAAGGGGTTGGACTTGACTTGTGGTGGACAGGTTGGGGAAATTACAGCTGGGGGTTTCTCTAACACCAGGCTTGGTGGTCTTGGAGAAATACTTTGGTGGTGAAAAGAGGGCAGATCTGGATTATAGGGGGTGTGGAGGAGCTGCTGTGGCCCATGAAACCAGCATGATTTGTAGGATCAGCTCTAGGCAATGGCTGGGTTAACACCACCCAGGCTTGCAATGTAAAATAGGTTTCCCTTAATGGTTATTGAAACTGCCTCAAAAATTCCTCTCACTTGGATACTTCTTAAAACATCATGTTTAAATTTGTGGGGTTTTGTTATTAATGTTTTAAAGATAAAAGGTTTGTCTTCCCCACCTACAGCTATTTCCTGTTTGAAAAATGCTCAGGTGCATCAGCCTGGTTTTTCATCAGCCCAACTGCCAATTTACACTTGCTAAATTGCTTCCCCCAAATAAAACCCCCCATGTCATACAGACTGGTTGCCTACTTTAAAAATCTTGCAAAAAATGTAGTGACACCCTATAATAACAGTCTCTTGATGCAAATGTTAGTATATGTATAAAATGGTTACATAGAGCATGTAATTTTGGGAAAGGATCAGAATTATGGATGAGGGCAGATTTTTGTCGAGCAAAATCAGGAGAATTCATGGTTTTAAACCTGTTCTTCTGCCAGTTGGCCCAGTGCTTGACACAGGCCAAACATGAGCCCAGTTTGCAATCTTGCCATGGAGTAGCAGATGTGGGTCCTCCTGTCATCTGGATTTCATATCCTCCTGCTCCTTATTTCAGGGTGTGGATGGATCCTGCCAAAGCAAAACTGGCTGGCCCTTATCTCCTGCAGGTGGTGGAGTCACTGCACGGCAGGTGACAGCTGGGTGGGTTGTCAGGTGTCCCTTGCTTTGTCCCCTTTTTGTGGGGCTGCTTTACCATGCTGTGCTGTGTCTGAGCCCACTCTCAGCTGGGGAGTGGCTCCCTAGGACAGGTGACACCCCCTTTGTCAAAGGCAGGAAGAAAAGAGCAAGGTCTGACGTGCACACAGGTTCTACCTTGCTCTCCAAGGCAAGGGCAATGCCAGGAACGGGCTGGGAGCTGACCTTTGTGTCTCTGGTGCCTCCAAACAAAGCTGCTTCTGTTCAGGCTCTGCTCCTGGCCAAGGAGAGATCAAGTCAGAGATTACTTGTCAGTTGAGGGCACTGATTAGATGATACTGATAGGCAGCCAGCTCTGAGTGATATTATGTTAATTAACTTGCTCTTTGTGAATGGGCAGCTCAGGAGCTCGTGGCAGATGCAGCCTGGAATGAAAATCAAAATGGCATTGGCCAGAGCTGGCTGGGTTTGCAGCTGGGTATTTGAGCCTTGCTGGTGTTTTCAGGTATTTGTTGGAGACTTGTAGTGCACAGACAAAGGAGTTGGAGCAAGCAACCTTCCTGGAAGGATGTGACCTTGCTGTCTAGGAAAACCAACTCTGGTGAAGGGCTGGAGCCTTGCCTTGCTCTGAGTGCCCTGGGCCAGCGTGTGACTGCAGTCAGCAGAGCTGGGCTGGCTCCCTCCAGCTGGCTGTGGGCAGGAGGAGCCCCCAAACCCAGCAAAGGTGCAGTGGGGACACACACAGGGGGAAGCCCAGGTCAGGGCCAGCTCTGCAGCCTCTTGCTGCCCTGGGAGTCTGGGGATGATTTCTGGTGTGGCGTGGGCACGGCCTAGGAGAGAAGAACCTGCAGGAGAATTTCTTGTGTGTCCACACCCCTGGGTCATCTCTGTGCATGCAGGAGGTGGAGAGGGCCCAGATCCCAAGGAATCCATAGACAGGGTCCTTTCCTGGAACTGGACATGGGAGGTGACAAATTCTGGGGTTTTTTGCTTGTTTTTGTTTGGGTTTTTTTGTTGTTGTTGGTTTTTTTGTGTTTTTTTGTTGTTGTTGTTTTTTTGTTTTTTTTTTTTTGTTTGGTTTGATTTTTTGGGTTTTTTGTTTTGGTTTGGTTTGGTTTTGGTGGGTTTTTTTGATTTGGGTTGTTTTTTTTGTTTTTGTTTTTTTTTTTTTTTGTAGGAAAATGCCAAAGCTTTGGTTGTTCCTGACACCTTTCCAGTGTGAAATAATTTGCCAGATGTTTTGGTACCTACACTGACACTCTTCTGGGCACTAAATGTCACCCATCATTAGAAAACGCTTGTCTTGTGACACATGATAGGGCTCAAACCACTGAGGACCAGAGCCTTGGCTTTATGGTATGTCTGTGAGCAAGATCCCAGGTAACACCAGCTGTCCAAAGCTGTTACTTGCATTTGCTTTTCCTCCACTGCTGGTCATCTGCATGGAAAATTTATTTGAAAAAGGAACAAAAAAACCTCTTTATAAAACGACAAAGATTAGCGATGGAAAGGCAAGAAAAGGGTTAGAAGCTCCTCAGGTGTAAAAAGGTGAATAACAGCTGCTTATCTTGTTGGAGATCAGACCAAATTCTTGTCTCCATTCCTCTAAGTGGCAACTGTGTTGGCCATGAAAAGGTTATCTTG